AGAAGCATTTCCCCAATATCACTATCAATACATGAACACACAATTTAGTAGTAAAACTGTATAACTATTTTTTAGAGTTAAGTTCATGCACTAAACTCTCCCACACACATGTAATTAAAAGGTGAAAAAAGCCATTACTCCTCAGAAAAAATTTTAGATATGCATTAAATTTGACATGTTACATGCTCTTATATAAAATTTTTCACTACATAAAAAGTAATTTTTATTTTTGTAAAATGCATTAGGACAGGTTTACAATACTTTTCTTACATAGAATATTTTTTGAGGCAAGCATGATTTACATGTAGAAGCAGATGGAAAATGCTAAAAATGTTATGTAAAATTACGGGGGGGGGATTCTGCAATTCAACATATATTATGGAATTGGAAGATAATCTTGGTATAGGTAATGTATTTATGTTAAAAAATGTCACAAAGAGATAAAACATTTTTATTGTGCAATATAATGTCTAGATGTGATGATCTGGTCGCAGCAAGTCTGTGACTTGTATACATGTTAATATGCTGAAATGCAATGAACATAAAACTTTAAATACAAATTTTCCTTATTTTTGTAATAATGATTAAAAAACTGGTTACACAGTTAAGCTGCCAGTGCTTAATAAGATCAAATGGCTTATTCACAAAAGAAAGGGAAAAGTTCTTCCTCCCACTAATATACAAACTATAACATACTGATCATATCATTTGAGGAGAAAAGCATAGAATTTAGAAAAAGAGTATTTTACTCATAGTATTAAAAAAAAGCCCTTCAGATGAAATAATCGAATGTCTTCACATCAAATTTAATACTAGCTTCAACCTTAACAAAATAAACAGTTATAAAAATGTTGATGCTATGGCAATGTGAGAATGACACAGTATTTACTTAATGTAAGCTGCTACTGAAAAGATATAATACACATTAAAATACCACAGAACACAAAATTTAACAACACACATACGGTAGCCTGTGGATTAAACAGACGGAGAAGGAACTGGAAAAAGATACAATTTAAACAATGATACATAGCTATGTGTTCATTATAAACATAATTATTCCTCGATTACATCTACTTTATTAATTTGTAAATTTTATTCAGAAACCAGTAGTCATTTCAAATGTTGAAATAACCTGTTAGAACTTAATTACTAATTTATTGAAAAAGTATGACATTTGACAAAATTCTCAAAAGCTTTTAATTATATACTACCATTAATCTGTCTTCCCTCCTCTAAAACTCATTTCAGAAACTAATCAACTTAAGCAAAAACAAGAAATTTCGAGGTCCTTGCTAATAAAATTTAATACTAAATAACTAAAATGGTTAGACAGAATACAGCATACTTAGATTTAAAACTTTATGTTCAGTAGAAACAATTTAGATTGCATTTTCTGGTGGCTTAAAAATGCTACTTGTGTTTTTTTAATGTAATTCTTTCAAATAATAGTTGAAAGATAATAAAAGTAAATTTTACTTTCATCAAAAGTTTCAAAACTAAGTGATTTGCTTTGCTTTTCTATATAATCATACCATCTGAAAGAGAATACTGACAGAGATATATGTTATAAAGGACTTAAGCATGAAATAATATGATTGTCCCCAGTGAAAAAAAGAGATCCTTCCCCTCCAAATATGGCAAGAGAACAAGTCATTTAACTGTTCCAGAAAGTAGAAAAAGAATATGCCTAGAAATTCTGCTTTTAGATTTTCTGCCAATATTAAATTAAAAGTACCAAACTCAGCTCAACGTCAAAGATTTCATAAAACTGGCAATAATTGTATGCAAATGATATAAATGCAGGAAACAGATGAAAGGATTAGTTCCTCAGTATAAACAGATAACAGAATGAAAAAATAACAATCAAGGTCATAAAATCAAGAAAATAGTCTTAATTACAGGGGAAAAAAAGAAAGCAAAATGGAAATTAAAAGAATGAACTACATTTAAAGTTAGTAAGGCGTTATATACATGTCTACCATAGCATAAGTAATAGAACTATCAGGAATTACAATTAATTACTCCTTAGCCAGATTAGATGCTAGTTCACGAGGTAAGTTGAAGTTGGTCAGATAAATCAGATACAGTTAATTTAGAATTTCATAATTCCTGTCAAAAATTACAATTTATTACTCCTTAGCTATAGATGCTAGCTCACAAGGTAAGTTAAGTTAGTCAGATAAATCAGATACAGTTAATTTAGAATTCCAGCACTATTTTTTCATCTTGACAAATGCACTTGTCTTTACAAGTGATGCAGGCATGCCTTCTTGCAATGAATCAATAATACTATTATTAAATACAAAATATAATTAACTGGAATAATATTAACAGAAATTAACTGCAACAACCTCTATTTCTGAGATGACTCTAAACTTTTTATATAATTTGTTTTTTTAATTTACTTACACACTGAAAATTTTATGCAAAAACTAACACTGTAAACAGCCACCTAGTACAAAGCCAAATTTAAATATAACAAAAATTTAATATATTAAAAAAAATAAAATCCTTAATTCTGAAACAGAAATACAAAAGATACAACCGAATAAAAATCACAGTTATGCATTCAATTTTAAAAAAGAATTTATATATTTTTTATTATTATAATAAATCAAATAATAAAGCAATTTCACATATCATACATAAAACAATAAAAAATAATGATAAGACAACTAATACATTGAAAATCAAACTAAATAACAAAAATATTCTATGAAAATAACAAAGTAACAAAAGTTTTTTCTGGAATGGAAATGTATAACATAACCTGTAAAACATGACAATATAACAAATTTGAAAATGCCAGTGAAGTGATAAAAATGGGAATGTTGAAAATACAAAACAAATTTCACGTAAAGCAGATAAATATGTTGTCACCAAAAAAATGAGCAATGGTAAGTAATTATACATGAAAAACAATATGCAAAAAATATAAATTAGAATAATTTAAAGAACTAGAAATTTTTAATAAAACAAGTGAAAGAATTCAATACATATTTATGAATGTAAATGCATCATCATCATCAAATATTTCAGAAATTTAACTATCCACAAAATATATATTTCATGAGCTAAAAATTAAAATCTAAAAAAAAATGCAATACATAAAACCCAAACACACTAAAAACAAAGCACTTTAATACTGTTATATGCCTTCAAACAAAATAGTATAATTTCACGAGGAATTACACATGCAACAATGACAGCAACATAATGATTTTCTCATTTCCTATGGGGGGGGGGGATTTCTACATGAAAATTTAAATTCCACGTGTTTCTATCATTCTTTACAGCTGGTAACAAAACCAAAACAAACAACTATGCAAAAGGCATTGGAAAGAAAATTATATTAAAATGCACTTATATAACACAAAAATTAATGACATGACTGTGAAATCTTTCTGTTGCTGAAAAAGCAGCAAGTTTTAAGAAATGCAGCAATTTATAGCATCATATAGAAAATGCAGCAATTTGAAACAGTCTCCTTTAGCATCTGTAGTAATTTAGAACAGTGGAAGCATAAAACTGTCGTAATTTCAGCGAAGCATGCAATAAAAATGGAATACATTTATCAAATTATAATACAAAAAATTATAAACGGATGTAATTTGGAAGTTTCAAGTTTGCCTACAAAACAAAGATATTCACATGCTTATTAGATACATTTTTAAATTTCTACCTATGAACTTTTCCATAAAAGGAGAAGACTGAATTGCAGGATTCAAAGTTTAAGTAAATTGAAGTTTAAAAAAAATCTGCAAAAGTATCACATTTTCTACTAAACTACTTGATTTAAAAGTAAATGAAAAAAATTTTAGCTCTTCTAAACAGAGAATTTCATCTTCCCTTTTCGAGTCTAGACACAGAATTTTTATTAAGTTCTTTTAAGAGACTCTTGAACGCTACTGCAGAACTGTTTTGCATGCATTACATCTTCATGTATTTTTACTTCCCTTTTCTCATTTTGAATTTCTGTTTTAGCACAAAATATGCAATAACATGACATTTTCAGCATATCTACATTGGTTCAACATTTAGTGCAACATGCATTCCTTAGTAGTTTGTAGTAATTAATACAGCTATCACAATATACTGGAAAAAATAATTGAAAATCAAACATTTCAGACATAATAATTAATCTAAATTACTGAAAAAAACATATACTGAATATATGCATATATAGGAAATCAACATGATAAAATGAAAACATTTTACTAAGCACTAACGCTTTGGGGGATATAATCACTTTAATAAAAAGATAATTAAGATAAACAAAAATATTGATCTAGAGAGAATCTAAATAAAACATTAAATACCTCCAATAAATTTTCTAAATAATATACAGCAGCACAGTCAAACTGAAACTGGCAACAAGAAATAGACAAGAATTATATAACAAGAAATGGAAAAACTGGCATTTTTAATACAAAATTGAAGTTTTCCAATTTTCAGGGCTGTTGAAAATCACACAGTTGCATCATAGCTGTCAATTGAAATTAGATGGAAAAAAGATGCACATATTAGTGGAATGTTTAAACTTTTTGGGTAAGTTTTCCCAGGAATTCTTAAAGTGGTAGCCATAATGATAGTTGACCTTTAAATAGTTGCCTTAGAAAATCACAAGAAAACAGCTTAAAACAGCTAATTATACAAAAATACCCAACCACAAAAACAAGAAGTATACAGAAAGCAACTTCTGCTAATAAAACTGAAATTTAGCTTGTTGTTATTTTGTCTTTCAAAAGACTAACAATTAAAATATATAACAAACAACTTTATGCAATATGTTTAAATGTCCTTAATCCTCTAAGCGTTATGGCCGGCTTTATCCAGTCATGAGATTTTTTGTCATTTGTTATATATTAGCTTATAATTTATGATATTTTGCTTTCTTACTTTCTTTAATAATATAAACATCATCTTAATAAATGTAAGTTTATGAAAACAGAGCCTAAAGTAAGTAAATATACAAATTTAGCTAATAAAGTGTCTTTGAATACAGGTCTTCATGACAGATCAAAAACCTATGCCACTCAGAGGGTTAAAAATATGATGAGTCAGAATATGCAATTTTTATAAACTAAATTGCATGTTTTAATGAAAATAAAACTGTATTATTATCTTTATGTATAAACAGTATACACCATATGAAAATATTTAAGAATGTTTTAGGTGAATGAAGTAGTGTTTAAAATGAATCAAAAACCTTTAAATCGTATGAAGAAGATTAAAAATTTGTCACAATATAAATTCTGTTATATATGATAAACATGCATAGTAATCTTTCAAAAGGAGGACACAATCTCAGCAATACTAATTCTGTTCATCATACAGAATGGCAACAGTATCTGCAAGACAGCTGAAACAGTTCTGAAATATGTAAAACTAGAGGATAGAAACTACTGCGCATTCATTTGCTTGTCAAAGCATATATTGGCTTAGTGGTGATGTAGAAATTTTAGCGAAAAATCTTTGAACATGCAATTTTCTCCCCCCTTTCCTTTTTTTCATGTTGTTTTGCCTTTATTTAAATTGTGATGGACCCTAACTTCCTAAAATTTACTCTACCAGTATACTTCATGCATCTTGAATCTTTTCATAAATTAAACTAAATGCAAATAAATTTTTAGTAAAACTATTATAAACAAAAACAGAATAATTCAAAATATAATCATCTAAAAACTTTCAGATACGTTATTTTTTAATTTGCTTTTTTTCAAAACACATTTCTTAAAAATTCATTCTCTAAAATAAAACAAAGAAAAAATAATTATACATTCAGAGATTTACATTTAAGTTTCTTTTCTTCTGAAATGACATGCCACCACTAAGCCTCAAAGCTTTCACTTGCATAATATGCAAGTTACTTGAAATTTTAAGTCTTTTTTTTTTTAATTTTCAGAAAGAAATGAGAAACGTACTTGCAGCTGTTATTGTCCCTAAGGTCCCTTTACAATACCGCAGAGTTTGTGCGAAATTGCTGTTACCAAGATCATTAACCTTCCTTTTCAGAGAATGTAGAAAATTTCAATGCTTAATGAATGCAATCTAGTAATAATGAGTTCTAAATACACTTATACATTCATAAAAACAATCTGCTGTCACACAAATGTAGCCAGAGCTGATGGTGATGTAGATTCATTTTCTTTTCTTGTTTTATCAATATACTGTCCAATGAAAGAACCATCTTCTCCAAATTTCCCCATCTCTCCTTCACCATAATCTGCCATGCTATCAGTATCACTTTCATGACCTTTAAAACTACTGGTTAGCGATGTCCGGCTTCCCCTAGGTGCTGCATGGGTTTCTACTCTGTGAAGTAAAATTCAAATAGGAATTATAAATAGGAATGATATAATGTTTACAGGTTTAGACAGCTAGAATTAGATTACTTATTTGAAATTCTATTCATTCTTAAGGGTCTGACCTCACACATAGTCTAACTATGATGATTTGTTCACGAGTTGCTTCAAAAGCTGTTGTAAATCTGAAAATTTATTGAAAATACTCACATATAAATAAAAAAATCTTATTTAAACTTGTGTATTTCAAGTATCAACTGTATGTCTGTAAATATGAGTGAAATTTTCCTGGTTCTCCTTTAGAAATTATTATAACAGTAATTGTAGTTTTAAGTGGGGTTCTTAATGTGTTTTTTTACTATGAAACAGTTTTAACTGAAATAAATTATGCATATGCTATACCATGCTAAATCATATGGATTGCATACTTACGGTTTGCTATATTCATTAAACCCTCCATCATCAGCAAAATCTAAATCTCTCCCTTGAGCAGCTTCCTTCTCATGAACAGAGTATTTTCCTCCTCGATTTCTCTTGATTAAGCAAACAAGAATCAGTAACAGCAATAATAATGCAATTGCACAAAGCATGCCTATGAACCATGCAGCAGTTGCTATATTTTCAGGTCCTTCTGGAGCAGCAAGAACTGTAAAATTAACAAAGCTTAAACAAAGCATTTAAAGAATAGCACTTGCCAATATATGTCAGAAAAAACTCAATCAAGAATTAAACCAAACGCTAAAAATTTCATATACTAACTCAAGTACTCTCTTTTTCCAAAGTTTTATAAAACTTATAATACACTGGTGAAATAAATTAAGAGAAATTTCATATTTGATCTATGATCTCCAGAACTACTGGACAGATTTTAATAAAATTTGGTGTGAACATAGGTTGATATAATACAAACAAAATAAACATTTAACACTTATAATAGACACACATGTTCGTATGTAACACACATTGGAGTCTGAAGGTCTGAAACAGCGGTTGCAGGAGACACAAAAGAAATAGGTTAATAGGGAGTATGGTCCCCTCTTACAGCCATACAGGCCTCACAGAGTGATGTCATACTGGAAATAATGCAGTTTATGAGTGCCTGTGGCAATTGGTCCTACTCATTCAGCAACACTGTTTTCAGTTCCTGGATGGTTCTCAAGAGGGGTGTTGCGAGTTTCAATTGCCCCCCCCAAGAGCATCTCAAACGTGCTCTATAGGGTTGAGGTCGAGAATTGGCTGGCCAATCCATCTGCCGAATATCCTCACTCTCGAGAAATTCGTCGACCAGAACAGCTCTATGTGGCCTTGAGTTATTGTCTTGTAAGATGAACTCGGGGCCCCAAGCACCCTGGAAAAGGCGAACACAGGGCTCCAAAACCTCATCCCTACACCTCACACCAGTCACAGAGCCTCTGTCAAAGATGTGGAGAGGTGTATGGCAATCCAATATGATGCCTTCCCAGACCTTTACATCGCAACCTCCACAAATGTTGATTTTGCGGACATTGGAGTGTAGGTAGTGGGTCCCTAGCTCTCTGTTCATCTGATAGTATGGTGAAAATTGGTGTTTAGGCTAAAATGGGACTCGTCGGTGAACAGAACGGTCACCCATTGCTTCGTGCTTCACTCACTATGCTGCCTGCACCATGCTAATCGAACTCTCCTGTCCACAGATGTGAGCGGGAAGCAAACAGCCAGTCTTCTGGCAAACAACCATTTCTCATTCAGTCTTTTGGAAACAGTCACCCTTGTTACACGGGTTCTTGTGGCTTCATACAGGTCCCGAGAGAGCTGAGAAGCTGTAGCCTCTCTGTTATGCTTCGCTAAAATGGGCAAATAGCGATCTTTTCTGGCCGCCGTGGCTCTTGGATAACCTTGCCCAGTCTTTCTCTGGGTGGATCCAGTATCCTGGAACTGTTTCCATAGGTTACACACGACGCTGGGGTTATATTAAACTCTTTGCACATCTGGACTTGCGATTGGCCTGCCTCTAGCCTCTCCACAATTCGCCACCTCATTCCATCATCTAAACATTGGTGGTTACTCATTTTTACTGTTCTGATGTTAATTTAAGCAATTGCTGCACGATAACGCCAAGAACTTCACCGAGGTGTGCTAGTGAACACAACTCGTCTTTTCCTCCACGCGCTTATAAAGCCTGTTTTTCTGCTGGCTCTGCATACACACGCATGTACGCTTATGTATTTGCCATACAAGATTTGCATTTTTATCTAGAAGCTGTGGTTTTTCCTTCAGTTCTGTTCTTCTCATGCAATTCGATAAAATATGTAAATTATCTTAATTTATTTCACCAGTGTAGCTTGAATCACAGCAGAGTATAAGGATTACAACATGAAGCATATATGAACCCCCTTACTAAGTCTATAAACGAGTGGATACTGAAGTCAGGGTATAACTTCCGAACCTGTTATCATCAAAATTTTCTCAAAAAAACTTTGAAGTCACTATCTATGCAATCTTAAGCAAACACTGATGCTATTTTCACCAAAAACATATCTTTCATGGACATTAGGGAAGCAATAGACTTGATTATTGCCTAAGCCACAGGGCACAGACCCAACGCAAATAATTTTTTGGAGCCCCTAAACCATTCTTCATTAATCATGATCCTTACACTTCTTCATGTTGGAAATCTTTGAAAGAATGCTGCCTAGGCTCTGAACAGTCGTGAGTGGGCGCTGCATGGCTTTCACTGTCATCAGATAACAGAAACTTTGAAATCAAAGCCATGATGCTACAAGTTTGCCAACAAAGATTTTCTTCACAAACTAATCAATAACAGGCAGAAGCTGATATTAGTTTGCAGATATTAACACAGCTAGAACTGTTATCCACAGAGCCTGACTAGTCAAAGTCCAGAAGGCCTCAGTCCCAGCTTTTAGGAGAGGCCCAACAGTCCTCTACATTTCCAAAATATTGATTTTTCATTTATTGTATATCTATTTTAAACTCTCAAACTATGGAATTGGAAGTTGTCAATCATCTGCAGTAGTCTTCTATTATTTCTGAGATACTTTATGTCAATGCTGGAACTGCCTTCAAAGATGTCTCAATTTCAATTATTTCACCAATGCCACATCATTCTGCCTAATCTTGAGCTTACCAATGGCCTTTTTACTTCCTTGCACGAAGTAAAAAGGAAGTATTGTAACCGCGAAAATTTTCAGGCAGCATATTTCAATGAAAATATCCATTTTGACCGCTATCAAATGCAATTTAACGTTTTTGCGTGATATTTGTACGTAAGGACAGAATAAAAAACTCGTTTCCTCCAAAAAAATTATAAAACTGCTTTAAAATTAATTCTGAAGAGAATTTTTCGTGGCGTCTGTACAAACGTATGTACGTACGTGCGCACGCACATATCTCGCATAACTCAAAAACGAGTAGCCTCAGAACGTTGAAATTTTGTATATAGGACTGCTATAACATGTAGATGTGCACCTCATATTTTGGTTGCAATCAGCCGCATCAATCGTATATAAATATATTGTTACACAGCTCAGTCAGTTTCTTTACTCTTATATGTTTGTAAATTGTACATTTTTTGCTTTAAAAATGATTGAATTATGTTGTTTTTATCTTCTGGTTAAGGTTTTTATGCCTTCTGGAAGCAATATTTGTACAATTATCAACAATTTAAAAGCTGTTTATGTGCGGTCAAGTTTTAAATAACATGGCGGACATATTTGTTTACATTTGAAACAGCATAATTGTAGATTTGTTGCCAATCTAGAGAACTAAGCTTCGCAACACAAAATAACGCCTTCATTTATTATTGCAAATTAAATCATGCTTAATCCTTTCTGGATTTTTTTCGAGGAAATAAGCGTTTAAGATTTACTTCATAATTTTAATATAGATATTTGAGTTTTTAGTATTTTTGCCTTCGCGAAGTGAGAAACTGAATTAATTGAATGAGAAATACTCAATCGTCTGTGAAAAACTTTTTTTTTTTTTGTTTGTTTGCTTAATTTCTTTTATACACCATTCTAGCTTTATTATAGTATTTGAATAGCACATGTGGCAATGATTAGATAATTCTATTCTTTAAATGATATAAATTTTGTGCATTATGAGTTATAATATGAATGAAATATAATACTGTTAAGTGAATCTAGCGCCAGAGTGTCGCTATGGAAAACAAATAGAGTGAATTTTAAAGAATGCATTTATTCTATTGTGGTTTATGTGCTGACGGCGAAGTAGATTTAATTTAATCATATTAGTTTAAATGAAATGCAAGAAAAAATGCGTATAATTTAATATTCTGTACAAGGAAGTCATGTGGTGTACACATGAGATTTTTTGTATTAAATGATGCCTCACAGACATTACGAAATTTTACACACTAAAACTTATTTTCTTAAAGTTCTCATAAAATCTATGATATAATTTATAAAGGACCATTTTTATGATAGGAATCAGCATTATATATGTTTTGTGTTCCATGATCTACCTTTATTTCTTTTTCTTTTCCAAATTTCATTACTGTTTTACATTTAAGAAACCCGATTTCATTACTCTTTAAGAAACCAATTTAGAATGAAATATAAAATTAGGCCCAACAAATTTTGCTTTTCAAGAGAAGAAACCTATTCAACTGCAAAAAATCTAACAAATATTTTACTAAAATCTACATTAAAGATTTTTTTGCTAATTTTACACTGACATATTTCTCTTCCACATACAATGATCAGTCAATCATGATGTGAGAACGCACGTTTCCGAATGGTACATTACTTAATGGCTGCTAGGAATACTGAGATATTATTTTGATGACTGTGTGCGTGTAAATGGAAAACATAGCTGACTTTTAAGGGACTCTGATAAAGGCCAGATTGTGAGGGCCTAAAGGCTAGGAACAAATATCTCCAAAATGGCAATGCTTGTCAAGTTTTTGCAAGCTGCCATTATTAATACAGTACAAAGTCCGTAATCTGGACGTCCATTAACCGGAATGATCTATAATCTGGACCTCAAAGCCACAAACTTACGCATGCACGTTTGATGCGCGCTATCGCTATGCATGCGCATAGAGCCAGTAAAGTGTTTACCCGTGCGCGCTTCCAATAGTGAAGAAGAAAGTAACAGAGAACGTAATTGAAAATGAAAAAATTTCGATTGACAGTTGTTGGTATTACGACACAGCAATTACAGGCTTGACAGTGGAATTTTGTAACTGACAAGAAATTATGCTGTTTATAGAATTAAAGAGCATTGAAGAAATATTAATAAAGTAACAAATAAATATAAGCTTTTTTTTTTTGTAAATTTTGATACCCTTTAGATCACAATTGCTCTTTATTTCATAAATTACAGTTTCATATTTTTAATTGTATAATTTCTGCATGCCATCTTACCAGATTTAAATTGATGATTTATAATCTGCAAAAAACCCTAATCCAGAATCGCTGAAGTCCCGACGAGTCCAGATTATGGACTTTGTACTCTACTCATAAAAAGAAAACCAGTTAGACACTGATGTGTTAGATGTGCATGTCTGATCAATGAATGCAGACACAGAGATTAGCTTGCTTGGGAAAAGCAAATTTTCAGCAGCTGGTGGCTCAACAGAAGCTGAATATAGTGCAGATCTAAGTGTATCTGAGGACAGAGTTCATCATTAGCCCTTAAATTGTTGCCACCAAATGTTAGAGCCCTGCATTATATATAAAGAAATAAAATAAGTAAGAATCTGTATAAATGTATGCTTTTTTTTTTTTTTTTTTGCACTGTGATAAAACAACGGTACCTAGAGCCATCCAATTTTGAATAACGTAATCTTTCACTTGAATATGGGTATCTGGAAAAGCAAGAATTTGGAATTTGTTTTGTTATCTCTTTCATATATTGTAAAACTTTAACAAAGTTTTTATTAACAAACTCAGTGAATTCAAAGTGAGCAATGGCAACACTGTACTGGGGGCAGGAAGTTTATTTCCAGCACGCAAGAATATGTTGAAAATGAATGTGTCAAAGAATAATAGACGTTCTTTGACTGCGCATCTGAAATTCTAAAGATATGCTTTTTAAAAATTATTTTGTGATATTGGCTCTTGAATTTAATTTTATCGTTTATCATGATTATAATATTTAATAAAGGTAACATGCAAAACATTAAAAAAAAAAGGCCCTTTTGGGCATAACATAAAATCTGAAAATTTTCAGAATTTTTTTATAAATTTTTATTTTGTTTCTATAATTTGCATACTTCTACAGCATATGCCTCTCTAATACATCTGTCAATCCGCATAATCAAAGTTTACTACTGTAGCAGGCTAATGAACATTTTGACTGAGCCAACACATAACTACGGAAAAGAATTGATACGTCAACTGAATCATAATTTCTCTTCAATCACTTTTACAATTATGGCAGGGTACTTCATCATCAAGGTGAACAAATAACTGACACACATACTGTGGAATACAAATAGGCTGGCAGTGGAGGTGTTAAGCAGTCGGAGATGTTCTAAAGGGCATTTCTGAGATTGAAGAACACTACATGCCGACTGCAGAATATGAAAATGTTGCTACTGACCAATTAAATTCTTCATGGCTCTGTCACTGGAAAGGGACTCATCTATAATTACAATATTCCTTTTCACATGGCTAGAATTCTATAGCAGTGATTTGAGAAACATGCTCTTTAATTCCATTTCATGCTCTGGCTTCCTATATAATTTGTTATTAATCCTATTAAGCACATCAATGATTTTATATAGTGCCAGTTCAGAACTTAACTACCAGCTCATATTCCTCCTCTGGGAACTTACCAAGGACCAGTGGTAACCATACCAAGAAGGAGTAGCTGCATGATATTACTTGGATGTTCATAATATTTTGGTTAATCAGTATATATTATCATGAAACAATTATAAATGAGTGATATAATTTTTCCCAGTATTTAAAACTCTCTGTAGCAGTAAAAAACTGCATGTAAGTTTAAATCCTGTTGCTGGACTGAACAAAAGCATTTAAAAAAAATTATCTTGAACTACGCAAAACTAAACACAAGTGAGACGCTACATGTCTGTAGATGACCAACAATGGACTGTTTTTATTTAAAACTTAAAAAATTTATACACAGAAATTTCTCTTTTGAGAAAAAAAATTATAACAATATATGGTACTTTTAGATTATCCACACCCCCTGAAAAGTATTCACGAGGCACTGTGCTATGCCACCAACACAGATTACCCATATCCAGAGTTCCTACACATTTTTGCACATGGAAATTAAGTAGTTTTAAGGACTTTTAAGGACCATTAATAAAAAAAAATTAAGGACTTATCAGCAAATGTGAACTGAATAAATTCAATTAAAGATACCTATGCCTGAACTTCCTTTAGTAATACCATCCTAAGAATAAAATAGATCTGTAGGTAGAATGCATTATTGTTAAGCATAATTTAAAAAATATAACAATAAAACAAATTTGAGAATAAAATCAACTTTATAAAATTTTTCAAGTAGCATTAAATATTTTACACTTACAATAGTTCGACATATTCAAAAGAAAATTAGTCAGATTTTATTTGTTTTACTACACAGTTATCTTTATGTTGACTTTTTCTTTTATGTCCCATTTTGTCACGTACTTGCTCAGTCTGCAGTTAGTAAACAGCAGTTATTTTTTATGTCAAAAACCATAGGTTAAAATGAGAAGTAAAATCATAATCAGCATGATTCGTTACAGAAGACTGGATGTTGCCACCACTACTACTAGCCAGAGAGAGACTTGATCAGAACAAACCACAAAGCCTGATGTAGACACAGTTGGCAAGTTTAACCTTTTCAGGACAGACGTCCCATATACACATTCCCTAAGAACGAACGTCTCTTACAGCCGGGTGTCCCATCCACGCATCAGTAAAGATCGCATTCAGAGGATGGGTGATGCGTATACGCATTTTAAGGTGGAACGTTTTTCTGAAAGCCACTAGATGCCATCCTGTATCCATTACTTTTGAAATGAACACAATTTTAGGTTCCTGGCCTTGAGTTTGATATATTCTGCCTGACTTTGGTATTTTACTCATCAACTGTTGAGAGGGTGGGGGAAAATGTAAACAGAGGGTGGGCTCTTAAAATCGCTACATGCTAATATAAAAATTCGCATACGTTATTTATTTCAAAAGAATGGACAAAGGATGCCATCTAGTGGTCTTCAGAAAAACATTCCAGCTTAAAATGCTTATACCCATCATCACTCCTCTACGTGCAGTCTCCAGTGATACGTGGATGGGACATCCAGCTGTAAGAGACGTTCTTAGGGCATATATGGGACACCCATCTGGAAAGGGTTACAATAAGAAATAGTCTGAAATACCATGATGGAAAAATTAAGCAAAATTTTAGAAGGAATTAAGAAAATATTCAGCAATCAAATGCAGCATATGCACAAGATTTAACCTAAATAACAAAAAACTTACCTAATCCACCAGTTTCAATCTCTTCAATTCTGCTTGGAGTCTCATAATGCCCATCCACAGCTACTACTCTCATTTCATACAAGGTTGCAAATTCAAGTCCTTTAACAAGAATTGTGTCATCATTTTTTTCCATAGCTGTTTGATCCCAATGTCCTTCACCTAGTAATAAAATATGAATATGCCATCTATCTGAAATATACACTTTAATAATTTAAATTAAATTATTGCTTCGCTTGAGGTAACATCAAATGCCAAATAATTTTTAACACAAACAAATCCATACAGTCCAAATCTGTACATGTTGCACTCCAGTTATTCTGAACACTTGCTTTTTGTAGGCTATTTGCATACATAGTATAAAAATAATGTACTACAGTACATACTTTTAAGTTCTAAAATTACCTTATATAAATGTGTATGGCCTATAATTGTTCAGCTATATGCTACCTACACCCATTTAAAGAAAAACAATTGGATTGTATATATGCCTTCAGTTCTTTGTTTGCTCTTTGAATAATTTCATTATTTTACATCAATAAAAACATAGCACTTTAGTAGTTAATTTTAATTACATTTAAATTTATTTTAAATTTAATTACAAGATACATTTTACTTTAGAACCTAGAAAACTAAATATTAATTTCATTACTTAGTTAACTTGAAATAGGAATGGGTAGTGAAAAATATATAATAAATATTTTACTATATTTAAAAATTTAAACAGTAAACTGATTTTTTAATGTGATATTTTATTTTCATAGATAAAATAAAAATATGCTTTCAATATGTCATCTCTGTTGAATAAAAGCATAATGGAAAAATAAAACTCCATCATCATTTAATATTACATTGCATTTCATTCTGTGCATTTATTATTCATAAAATTGAAGTGTTTTCCAAATTAGTTTTATTGTATATGTATTATTTTATAATAAAACATAATACTAATTTTATAATATCAATTGTAAATAATTATTTAGTTATTTTGCATGATTTCATTATTATTATTATCATAATTACAATGATAACTTTTATCTTTGAGCTAAAAAATCTATGCATATTATTATGCATTGAAAAAAATCCTTATTATTTAATTATAATGATTTTACAGTGATAAATAATTATTATAGTTACTTAAATAATTATAATGACTATAATATAATAAATACAGTATCGATTTGATTTTTGCTCTAAAAGCTATATGCAGTATTACACGCACTAGGGGGGAGGCAAAAAGCGATATTTCTTACCTCTATATTTCTTATAATTCTGAGTCATAGTCACTATAAATATCTAAGTTTTCATCCTCTTCATCAAAAGAAATAATTAAACACTCACATAAATCTTCCATTAAACCATCTTTTTCCCACTAGTCATTTTCTAAATGGATGCAGTACTTCTTTCAGTTTTCTATTGTTACACTTTCAAGAGTTTCTTCTGTAATTTTTAATAGACATATTGCTTTATTTTACCCCATAAGAATTCATTTGCATTAACGTACCATTGATATGCGGGGCAGATCTAGAGATGTAAAACCATGTTTTTCGAGACACAATCAAATTTAGGACTTTTCTTTAAAAGCAATTTGTTTCATAAGCTCTATTAACTCTACTTTCTGTAAAATTGGAGAGAACTGTACATATTTTTTTTTTTTTTTTTTGTAACCTCTATACAATTTCTCCTTTTCAGCTTGCCATTGTTGGACATTTATTTAATTGGACAGTGTGGTAGGAGGCAATGTCTAAAATTACTACAGTATTTGGTGGAAGATTTCGAATGAGTTTTTCAGAAGTCCCCTTTTCAAAAACAAAAGAATTCATCTGCCTGTGATAGTCTCCCAATGTGGTATATGCTCTGTATACTAGAGACATATGAGGTAAAAAACCCCATACCACCCTCAGCAAATAAAACAATAGTTTTTAGATGCATTCCCACTCTGCATGATGCCAAAAATTCCTTCATATTGCCAACATTTTGAGAATGTCATGCTCCTGTCCACCCAGGTTTTATCCAAGTAAATAAGAGATCTTTCACGATGAAATTATCTCACTTTTCTAAGATACTGGGTTCTTCTTAATACGATGTCACTTCTTTCAATTAAAACTTTCCTCTTGTTTTGGCTCTTTCTCCATACAAATTCAATACTATGCAGTAAATTTATTAATTTATTTAAAATCTGTCTTTTCTTGCAATACAGGAAGTAATTTTAAAAGGGATGGAATTCCCCCCTCCTTAATATAAAATTCATGAACAGTTCTTCGAATTAAATCACATTCAAAACCATCTAAACCAATCCTATTTAATACTTTCTTTTTAGACCTTTTTTCCCCCAGGGATTTGAAAACTGCCTCTTCTTCCCTTTCTGCCTCTCAGCGAATTTTCTCTATCGTCATCACCTTAGTTACATGATACAGTGGGATAACATTTGTCCCACCACGCATCTAGAGCAATCAAATGGCATCTTTGCTTGGCATAAATACACCTAAAATGCTTATATAAAATGCTAGTTTCAGCAACCAAATGAAAATGCAAGATATAAAAAATGTTTTTGAATAATTATCTAGAAAATATTGATCACATTCGCAAAATAAAAAATATTTTTACAAAAATTTTACTTAATTTAAAGAAAATCGCTGCCTGTAAGACTTTTCAGATATCTTTTAATGATTTCATAATAGATTTGAAACGGAGATTATTTTCGCTCAAGTACTTTATTTGCTACAGGTTTGAAAAGGGTGATATTTAGAAGGCCGTCATGTTACTTACATTTCACCTCTCTTTCCCCTGCTTAGGATATTTTTCTGTGGTGAATCACACTCGCATATCCATTCAGTATTCAATGACACTTAATGTTACAGGGTTATATTTTCATTTCGTTCGGGGAAAAATACTAAATCTTTTTCATGTTTTAACATTACTGCAATTTATTAAAAAATACAAATTTACATTATCTATATATGAAATGAATGTCCTACTTGAATTAAAATTTCCTACATGTACGGAGGGATGTATTTGTCTGACCTTTTAATTTTAACAATTTTTAATTAATATGTATGAATTCAAATAATAATTTTTATTTGAAAAGGAAACTTTCAGATAAAATATTCATTCTAATTATAAAAGTTGTTGCTTAGACAATTTAAATTTCATTAGAAATTAAGATAAAAAAACTACTTCAAAATTAGACCTGCAAAGAATTTTTTTCCTACATTATTTCCATGAATGAATACTATTGCTGCCATCTGCTAGACATTTAGAAAACTAAAAGGCATAAATGTATGCAGTTTAAATGGAATTTTGCAGCCCGTCCATCAAAGGGTTAAAGACGATCGAATTACATCACATTTTCATTATTTGAGCAAGATCATAAAAGATAAAACTTAACATTAGAGCTCTTAGATCGGGGATTCTCAACTCTTGAATTAATTATTTTTAAAAGAATGGTTTTCTTCATTGACTCCCTTACATTTTTATCTATAATATACAGCATAAAACATAACAATAAGACAAATAATTGAGCACAAATTAAGAATATGAACAAATGTTTTGAAAAAATGATTTTATTAAATTTATGCTTTTACATAATTTTACAAATATAAACAAGTTTTTAGAAACAAAACCCCAGATTCTAGTTGCACTAAAGTCCAATTTTAATCTATGTGATGCATGTGCTTGATGCATTGATGCAATTTACCTAATTTTTAGCATAAAATTGCTTAACTTAATTTTTAAAACACATCATTAAAATACCAAATCTGTTCCTTATTTTCGAAAACATCACTAAAGCCTGCTTCCATTAGCTATGAGGAAAGGCCATTTAGTTGGTTTGGTGAGGTATTTGATTTTGCGATTTTTCTCTTGGATGACTTTTAATTTCAAAATTTAGCACATTCATCTATTTTTATTGCGAGTTGTACTTGAGCATCCTCCTTTGATGCATATGAAATATATTGCATTTCAACCATGCTATTCTATGAGTCATGCTGGCACATTCGAATTTTCTGTCTTGAAAGTGATTATTAAAATTAAAATCTTTTAATTTTATGTTATTTATTTTTAAAATTTTTAAGTATATAACAATTTGTACTCTCTGAGGAAGTTTTATTTTCTTCATATTTTTCTGGTTGCGTTTTCTTGTATTCCGTATTTACTTTTTTATGCTGCACTTATTGCATAAAAATTTCATATTTTAAAAATTATTATTGATTTAAAGATATATAAAATAATTTCTGTATATTTCTTACATTATACTTATTTCATGATTACTGTATATAACCTTATATTAAAACAATTAATTAACAATTTTACTTATAAATATTTTGTAACCAATGGTATCTTGATCATGCCAATCAACTGCAGGTGCATATTCAGCTATCAAACCCAACTGACCCCTTGATAACCCTTGATGCCCAGGGGGTCAGAACCAACTCTGTTAAGAACCCAATACTTCAGGCAGTCACTGAAAAAAATTGTTAATTTTTACTTGTTATTGGGGATGCTCAGTTTCGAAATAATGCAATGGTAACGAAGGTTTCATACTTCCATTTGATAAAACTTGCCAACATACTGCCAAAAGGGGGAGAGCTGCCATCATCTCTTGTGAATGAAAATCCATAATAAACATGCACACCAGAATACTAAGTTTTCTTCCGAAAAGAACCAATCTTTGCAACTGTTTTCCTACAATTCAACCTGCTTTGCAAGAACCATAGCTTCATCCTAGTACCAGCTGGTTCTTTAAAAGTGCTTGGCATAGATGCCAAATCAGAAATCCTATTAAGTTTTCTGCAAAAATATATTTTTTGACTGCTTATCTATTTTTATTCAAACTAACATTTAACAGATCTAAAAGGGGAAAAAAATCTCATTTAAAACAATCTGGTCTGAAACAAATTTGACTGAAAGATAACTGTAAACAAAGACACCTACAGAACTCACTTGAAGATACATCTAATCCTGAAAATATAGGTTGATTACGTGAGTATTTGAGATATTATCTTATTTAGAAGTGAAAAAACTGTGAATGAGGATTATTCAATAAAATCTTACTAAAATATTAAAAAGGAAGCGACATATTTGTCCCCCCCCCCAAAATGATGATTTCACCATTTTGTGAATGTCCGTAATTGCAAAATATATATGGTAGAACATTGATTATC